TTCAGGAAACAAAGGTAACGGTTTCTGCTCATCGTACACTGAACACTGTCCGTGGTGTTATTTTGGAGAATGACCCGATGGACTTTCCCGTGGAAGAAATTCTTGAAGGTATGCATGGCCAGGCCATTTTCGCTGCCAAACGTATCACCATCCGAACAGATGGAAAGGAAATCCCTACAAAGCACACCATCCTCACTTCGACATGCACCGAGCCGTACGAAAGGTTCGGAGGCATCAGTAGAGGAAATGGAGGTTACCCCGTCACAGCGGAAGGTGCCTCCTCTCAAGGGAGGCGTCAAAACCCACCCAAGAGAAATGATCCAAAAAAGACAATATCCAGAATCACTGGCCCATAATTCACAATCCCCTTGGTCTTGGTTTTTATGACCAGGGACCTTATGCAATAGAATTGCAGAGGAGTTTTTCACAATTTAGATGATGTAAATTTTCTCCTGCAGAAACATGAGCCAGTAGCACTCTGCCTTCAGGAAACATACTTAAAACTATCAAATACCAATTTTTTAAAGTCATTTCAACTTTTCAGAAAGGACCGTATAACCTCTTCCTGCTCTTCAGGAGAGGTTGCCATTGTTGTGAAGAGTGATGTCACAGCCTATGAAGTAACTCTAGCCACCCCTATTGAGGCTATTGCAGCACGTATTTTACTTGATCGGTTGGTTACTGTTTGCTCATTGTACATACCACCTTCATTTGCTTTATTAGCGAGAGATCTTGAACAGTTGGCTGATCAATCGCCAGAACCTTTTTTTATACTTGGGGATTTTAATGCTCATAACCCACTTTGGGGGAGTCAACGGTTTGACAGTCGGGGAAAAGTGATTGAACGTTTCGTCTCATCGAGAGTGCTGTGTGCGCTTAACACCGCTGAACCAACATATTTCAGCTCATCTCACCGATCTTTTTCCTGTATCGATCTTTCCATTTGTTCCCCGGATATATTTACCTTTTTTCAGTGGAAAGTGATTGATAACCCATATGGCAGTCATCACTTCCCGGTTCACCTGGCCCCAACGCAACTCCCGCCGAGATTGCAATCGCGTCCTCCCCGGTGGAGGCTAGAAACCGCAAACTTGAGCTTTTTCAAAAGACTGCTGTGTTCTCCCATGACCTTCGTGACACGCTTTCTGTCGATGAAGTTACTGACGACATCACAACAATCTTAATAGAGGCAGCACGGGTTTCGATCTCCCAAACGACAGGCTATTTACCTAAACATCCTAAGCTTTGGTGGAACGATGAGTGTCATGAAGTAAAGAAAACACAAAATAAATTCTGGGGAATTCTGCGCCGATATCCAACAGCTCTAAATGTCTTGTCTTTTAAGCAGAAGCAAGCTTTCGCACGCTATGTTCGAAAGCGGGCAAAAAAGAAGTCCTGGATTGGCTATACCTCCTCCATCGATAGCTCCACACGTGTCAAGGTTGTCTGGGACAGGATCAGGAAAACAGAGGGGGACTACCGTCAGTATTCAATTCCCTTAATTTCGTCACGGTGATACCCCCTCCTCACTGGAAGAGCAGGCTAACATTCTGGGCAGGCGTTTCCAAAGTATATCAGGATGTGGAAATTAAAGCACTAACTTTTTAAGTCACAATGCGAGGGCGGAGAAGGTTAGGCTTGTTACTACTGGCAGCAACAATGAAGAGTACAACCAGCTTTTTACAGTTGCTGAGCTGCGTCACGCTCTTGCATCATCAAAGCCTTCAGCCCCAAGTTCCGATAGAGTACATTACAGCATGCTAACCCATCTCGCTGATTCATCGTTTGATCTTCTTAAATTTTTTAATCGTGTATGGAGAGAAGGGTAGCTACCCAATGAGTGGAAAAAAGCCATTATAGTCCCCTTTTTAAAACTAGAAAAAGACAGATCTAATGCCTCTAGTTACCGCCCTATTGCGTTGACTAGTTGTCTGGGAAAGACTTTTGAGAGACTTGTAAACAACAGGCTCGTTATTATTTTAGAAAGCAACAGTCTTTTAAGTCGTTTTCAATATGGTTTTCGCGCTTCGAGGTCTACAACTGATCACCTTGTCCGCCTTGAAACTGGTATCAGAGAAGCTTTTGTTAACATACAGTTTTACCTTTCGGTGTTTTTTGATCTCGAGAGGGCCTATGATACCACCTGGCGGTATGGCATTTTACAGGATCTTGTGCATGTTGGTATACAGGGAAGAATGTTCAACTGCATTGCCAACTATTTAAAAGATAGAACCTTCCAAGTGTGTTTAGGAACTACACTTTCTGCTTCTTTTGTTCAGGAGAATGGTGTCCCTCAGGGCTGTGTTCTCAGTGTGACATTGATTGTCTTGAAAATCAATTCATTGTCACCGGCGATACCACCAAATGTTATGCACTCGTTATATGTCGACGACGTCCAGATCTCGTACGCGTCTTGTAATCTCTCCATTTGCGAGCGCCCATTGCAGATGACTATCAATAGAATGACGAAGTGGGCCGATCAAAACGGGTTCAAGTTTTCGGCAGAAAAGACTGTTGTTGCCTGTTTCTCCCAGAGAAGAGGACTATTTCCGGACCCCTCGCTGCATTTGGCTAGGGCAGTGCTGCCAGGTAGAGCCGAACATAGGTTTCTTGGCGTCACCTTTGATAAAAAGCTTACTCTTGGATCACATATTAAATCGCTCCGATTGAGATGTCAGAAACAGCTAAATATGGTGAGCGTTCTTTCGCACAAGTCCTGGGGTGCAGATCAAGTCTGTCTTTTGCGCATTTACAGAGCAGTTGTACGCTCAACTTTGTAATATAGATGCATCGTGTATGGGTCCGCCAAAGCAACAACTCTCAAGGTGTTGGACCCCGTCCACCACCAGGGTATTCGGCTTGCAACGTGGGCATTTCGTACATCACCGGTTCCTAGTTTATATGCAGAAGCAAATAAATGGTCTCTTGAGAGGCGCAGGCTGTTTCTTAGTGTTCAGTACTCTTTGCGAATTCGCTCTTCGCCAAACAATCCTGTCCACTCCATCATACAAAATAAACAATATGAACGCACCTTTCAGAATAGACCATCTTTCACAAAACCTTTTGCTTTGCGCATAAAAACACTGACTAAACAGCATAGCCTTGAAGAACCTGGTCCTTCTGTTGAACTCCAGCAACCACTGGCCCCTTGGAAGAACAATGATATAAACTGCAATCTCTCATTGACCAAATATAACAAGAAAGTAGTGTCTGCAGATGTTATAATACAAGAATTTCTCGAAATGCATGCCAGTTATGAAAATTACCGTACTTTGTTTACAGATTGCACAAAGACTGCAGAGTATGTCGGATGTGCTTTTGTTTCGGAGTCCATTCAGAGTGTTCGAAGAATAAATAGAGATGACACAGTGTTCACAGCTGAGCTCTATGGTTTAATAATGGCAGTTGAGCACATTTTGAAACATAATTTTTTTTTTTAAATGGTAGTTTTCACCGACTCGCTTAGTGCAATAAGAGCCCATAAATCTGTAGGAAGGAAAAAGAGCCCTCTTATAACAGATTTACACCGACGAGTGCTTAAGGCACTGGAGCGGAAACTAGCCATTGAGTTCTGCTGGGTACCCAGCCACATGGGCATAGCTGGTAATGAAAAGGCCGATCGGGCTGCTGCAACTTCGGCTGATCGCAATGTTGGTATTTTTGCGATACCAGCTGCTGATTATAGTGCAAAATTACGAAGGCAGAAAACAAAGAACTGGCAAGAGGAATGGGACACTGACACTCACAATAAGCTTCACGTCATCAAAAGAACTCTAACTGAGTGGAAAATTTGCAGGCATCGTGAGCGTTTTTACAAGGTTATTTTGTGTCGATTGCAGATTGGACATACACATCTCACCCATGGACATCTTCTAAGGGGGGAAGAGGCACCCGAGTGTGATTTCTGCTCTGAAACCCAAACTATTCTACATATTCTCTTAGTCTGCACGAAATTTGAAGGTGAACGTCACAAACATTTTGCATTGTTTTACCAGAGCATGTTCCATTTCACCTGATGATTTTGCTAGGGGAAGAACCTCTCAAATGAGATAAACTGGTTTATGAATTCTTAAAGGATATTGGCCTTATACACCGTCTCTAAATTTTTGTGCTGCTTTACGAGAGCTGACTATGTTGTCAACATGTCCTTTCTATTTCTTTATCATAGTTCTGGCGCACTATGGGCTTTGTTGCTGATGCGCCAAAAAAACCCAATTTCATTCTTTCACAGCCTTTTTCGGCGGATGGGAGAGGGAATGATGATGTGTGCGACGAACGCAACCAATCGCCGCCCCCGTAGCTGTTTGGTCTTCGGTAGGGACGGCGGTTGAGAGCAAACGACATCTATGGTCCTTGATTTCCTCGTTCGTTGGAGCGCGTCTTATAGTCATTCTTGGACAAAAAACAACAAAACATTCGAGGAATTTCCATTCCCCTTGCTCGAAGGCTAAGTCCTCGTTCGTGAAAACCAATGGATTTCTGAAAGCCATAATGGAAAGGTAATCAGCCATTGTTACGACTAGCAGACGACACTGGCGTTCGGCGTCCTAGCGGTGACCCTGACGCCACTGCTGCCTTTGAGCGAGGAGCACACGACACCCTTCTCCGCTCTTGCCGGAGGAATATTGTGGGTAGAAACAAAAATAGCTAGTCTTTCTGTCTAACCATCATCCTTCTAATAGCAATTGGCGATCTGACGTCACTGCACTCGCTGCGCAGAAAGCGCAGCGAGTGCAGCGACTTTGCACGCCGCATAGGTATTTTAAAGCGAATGAATAGACCCTTTTCAACAATTCATCAAGCAACATTGGTAATCAACATTTTTTGGGCACGAAGCGTGTGATTGTATCCGAGTCTTCGGCGAATTATCACGCAGGGCTCGCGTCCATTGCACGCTCAGAGTACGTGCCCAAACATTGGCGCACAGGCGATGGCGCCCACTTTCGAAAAATAGTGTGTTGCGGATTCCGAGTGGACGCAGCAGAGGCAGAGTGACTCACCAATGAGGTCCCATTCGCCGTTGGAGATGTAGGAGGATAGGTCTCCTCCCTCGTCGCTTTTGACTCGCAGGTCCAACTGGTAGCCGCTGTGTGTCCACGAACCGAATTTGAGGTCGCACTTCTGGTCGTCAAAGGGGAACCAAGTAATGTCGATCTTGCACGTGCTTTTAAATATACCCAGTAGGATGTAGTTACAGCTGCCGTTGTGGCGGACAACAACGTTTCTAGGATACGTCCCGTCGAATTTTTCGTCCGCGCTGTGCGAAGAAGAATAAAAAATGTGCGGGAAAACAAAATGAGACACAATTAAAAAGACACACACAGAGGAGGTAAGAAAGCGCCACACCCGACCTTCAAAAGTATAACCTCGCAACATGTTCTTTTTTTCTTTTATCGCAGCTATAATGTGTTTAAATTTTGGTTTCTCGTCTTATTTTGTGGAGGTCGTGTCAGAAACAGGTGGGTCATTTAGTCTGTTATTACATAATTAACTCCTTTGATCCTTGGTTTATACTCCATAGTATACGAAGTTAAACAAAAAAAAAAAAAAAAAAAAATATTCAGTAGGCAAGCACACGAACCGTCTTGAAGCTTTTTGTTTTATATCTTTGGTCAACTTGTCGCGCGAGGCAGCTAATGCCACCTTCAAAAAGGTGGGACTGAAGAAACTTAAAACGACGACCGACGTTTCTCATCAACGGAATAGAGACAACTGTCTATGCTAGTTGAGCCGCCTGGCAAAATCTCGTTTCTAAGGTTAGGTTAAAGGGACCATGAAACCATTTTGAAATCGAGTTTCATCCACCGCACGTCGTAAAAGACGTGAAAAGAAAGCCAAAGCGCAAAAATTGAGAATAATAAAAAATGTTTTTCTATTAAACTTTAAAAAAAAAAAAGCGAACTCTTTTGTACCCTCTTTCTTTCGAAAGCTCTCTGCCTTTTCCCTGCGATGCATCCGCGGTGCCACGGCACATCAGTTCAATCCACATTGCCTGTTAGATCAAAGCCTACCTCACCAGCACCGCGATCATAAACAATAAATTCCTGGAGATGGTTTCTTAGAAGTTGTGCTAAAGATTATTCTGGTCCCCATTCTGTGTAATAATTAGCGATGTGACGGAAATCGCCGAATTTTATAATACTCGGGCTATACGTCATCTATCGTGTGGTAAATGAAGCAAGCGAATGATCAGATTGCGCCTGCGCATAGTCGCTTGCTGCTGAAAAACATGGCGTCGGTGGTGGTGATCGACCTGGTCGCCGTAGTGGAAGCTCATCGTTCCGCGTAGAGCGCTATGCTTGCCTGAATTCTCGTCGCGGGTCGCTATGATAAGCCAGCACGTCCTAAAAGGAAAGATCATCTACTCGTGCAGGGATATTGCGGCGGCACCCTCGAGACAGCTAAAAACGCTCGTGCCGTCGTCTTTCTATACTTCGACCAGAGTGGTGCTTTCTTAGCTTTTGTGTCCTCGAGCATCGCCCGGCTTTCTTATTTTGCGCATTCCATGCGTGTGATCAGGTTCGAGATATTACTGGTGCGTACGGTATTTAAAGACGTGTATGAAGGATGCGAATTTCGACGCGTTTTCATCACCCGAGAAAAGTGATTATTGTTAGCATTCCTTGAACGATCGCAACGTCTATGTGATCATGAAATTTCATTTCTACGTGGCTATATTTTTTGCTAAGATTACATTGTCTTTTGCAGTCGTAGAATAGGCGTGTGACTAGATTTGTACTATCAGTAAAGTCGTGTTTTAATGTCCTGATCGTCCAAGACGGCATACTGCATTATTTTTTTTTAGCCACTGTCTCCTGCGAGCCTATCCAGACAAAATAAAAGTTCATTAAGCTTGAGCCCATAGGAGACTCCGTGCAGATTCTGCCACGCCAGTGAGTGACAGCGCGTCCCCTACTTTTAAGAGATATAGCGGAAATGGCTGACGGCGGCGGAGAAGCGACTGTCGTGCTGACGACCTCCTGCGTTTCGTATGGGACCAGTCCCATGCTCTCGCTGTAGCGCAACATATCTAATTGAATTTCGCTCATATGCGATGTGTTCACGGCTATCTCGGTGAGGAGAGGCGCCGATTGAGAAATTATGTCGGTGGCATCGGTGCCACCAGCGCAGTAAAACCTACCGGCACACCGCCAGCTCTCAGCTATCGCTCCCAATCTACTACTGCCAAGAGAACTCCCGTTTCTGGTGACAGGGCACGTCACAACCGTCCAAACTGCGCTGCGGCTTCTTTTGCGATGAGTAGGAGAGTAAGAAAAACTCAATATTTCAATAATTGCTCGTGTAAAAGTTAATAAACCGAAGCGAAAACGGATGCCTGTTCGGCGTTTAGTGAACATTGAAGGTTTAATGTAAAAGTTGTTCCTCAAATGCAAAAAAAGGTCATTTCATGGTCCCTTTAATTCCAGATTTGTTGCTTCTAATAGTAAAAACTAATAATCCAAAGACAAATATAGTGGCTTAGTTATCTCTCTCTCTCTCTCTCCATATATATATATATATATATCTCTTTTTTTTTTCTTTGCCCTCTATAGCAGTGCCGTTACAGATAAAAGTGTGTCATACCAAAACACGCTTCAAAAAAAAAAAAAAAAACGCGTGGCAGCGATATTTATGGTAAAATAAAAATTATAATGTACAATTAAAGCAATGGAGTTTATTCGCGTCATTTCTAAAATGATTGCAAAACAGTTGGTTCAATGTCCAGGAAGGTGATTTTAACTCAAAGGGAACAAAAAAACTGGCAATGTTCCTATGGTCAATGGGCGTCGTAATGAATCGAGGTCTGTACTCATCGACAACTTAAGAAACGCAGGGCGCGTCGCAGCCGATTACATTGTTGCATTAGCCGATAAGAACGCAGCAGAACGATTCACAAAGGGCGAGCTTACTAAACCTTTACCTGCGTTTCTTAAGCTGTCACTAACTATGGTAATAACTAACTGATTGGAATACCAGTTGAATTGCTACACGGAGCGCAAGTTCGTCTGCCTCTTGCGCAGGGGTTGCAGTGACGTCAAAACGCCGAGTGCTGGTTGGCTCTAACCGAAAGGGTAGCGGCTAGACTTCAGTGCTAGCTGCCTCGAGGTCTACCCACTATCCTACCAATCGTAGCCAATCAGAGCATGGCGTTCTTCTGACGTCACCGCAACCCCTGCGCAAGAAGCAGACGAACTTGCGAACAGCATTGGTTTTTGGAGAGGCACAGCCAAAGATTAGTAAAGGGTAAGGTGGTCTTCATTCCAATAACACTGAAGGTGCTGTGGCAGATGGTATGAAGCCTGAATAACAATTAGAAACAGCTTTCGATTTCGAAATGAGCAGGTCAAGACCAGCGTTTCGGGTAGGTCCTCTGTATACTCTAGAATTCCGACATCATTAATACGTAATTTTTTTTCTATAACGATGTGTATGCCCGGGTGTTGGTGCTTCTGACAGCTCTGTTCCTTAGCCATATATTTGGATGTCTGTGCCTTCGCGAAATATTTTTTTCTCTCACTCTTGATAACTTTTGAAATCCGATGAATGTTTCATGCCTTTAAACGTAGACAGGTGTCGCAAAAGTCAAATCAGATCTTTAATTTAATTTTCTTCTTATAACCTCCGCTGAATAGCAAAATATTCATTTTAACTGCGCTCGAGATATAAAGTTTACGAAAAATATATACACATTAAAAAAAGTAAAAAACTTAATACAAACGAATTATCCTCTTTTTTTCTTCTAAAACGCCAGTTTTCGTCAGATATTTTGGTTATTATTAATTACGGATTTGAAATAGGGACGTCGACAACTTGTCAAATGTGTGGCAGAGCCTGCTTTTGAACGCCGCCAATAACTGTTGCTCAGTATTTATAATTATTTTTACCTTTCTTTTCTTAATTATAGCGGAGACAAAGTACACTTTCTCACGGGAAAGATTATGAGTGTGCAATTATACGCTTGGAAATTGGGCTCAATAAGTGTCCGCCAATCAAAGTGTGCAAAAAATTGTCATTAAGTTTCTGAAGACTCATTTTGCTAGAACTCTGTTTTGTTTTTCTGTTTTCTGACGAACACTCGAATTCGAATCAATAACATTTATTAACGTTTTTTTTTAACTTCGAAAAAGCGTAGTGAAGCGTTATTGGAACAAATGCAACATGTTAGGGGAGCAGACAAACGACTGCCTTTCAAATACGTGACCAGAAGTTAGCGAACAACGCTTGAAAGAATGAATCTGCTTTAAACTATGCTTCAAATTTTTAAGCGATAAAAATGCATGTATCCTTAAGCGCCTACAGATTTTGAGCTGTCTTTTTGCGAGTTTCTAAGATTGCGTTATCCATTCGTTATAACTTCCTAAATCTCTCCCCAATATGTGGACTTCTGAAAATATGGTCGCTCAGCAAAACCCTCGCAAAGATTGCATCAATATTAAAGGTAACTCTAAACCAACACTTGTATCGTCTCCTTCCCTTTGTTCTGAAAAATGCACGAAAACATACTACGGAAACTTCTTTGCATTTCGTTATATGAACGACAAAGTTTTAGCAGAGTTTCGGACTTAAAGAGGTCTCCTTTTACGGCGACTGCTTCAGAATGCGTTGTACGCTAGGATCAGTGAGTTAACAATACAAAACAGCTTACACTTTTGTGTTGTAATAATACTAACGTGTGGCGCGATGGCTATACGGGTTATTTACGTTTCTATATCAAAATAGGCGAAATATGCAGATGAATGAACCGTACAATTGACTTTGAATAAAAGTTACAAAGCTGCCGAAGGGCAAAGTTCGGTGCAGCCTAGATCTGAACCCTGGATCAGCGTGATTACCGGCGAGGTATACTACATATATCCACACGCGTCGTGTGGATATATGTGGTATATATCCTGCGCGCGATGTACGCACCATTTAGGTTGCCTCTGTTCACACACAAACACCAGGACAGCGACTACAGAAATAAGGGAAAAAAGGGGTTGTGAATGATATGAATCAAAAGTTAACCACAACTTTGGCGGATGGTAGTTGAAATCTCGGGGTGGTGTGTGGTACTAAATAGCACTTTTTTTTTCATCATGTTCTTTGCCGCGGTATAAACATTTACATACACTTTTTTTCTATAAGATAATACAGTAAAGACAGATCCGTCTTCGTAGAGCAAACGTTATGGCACCACTGATTGCACACATTTCTATTTACTCGGAAGTGACGTGAATAAAGTTGGCGCATCTCACCTGTTGTACATCAGCACGTCGGGTTTCCAAATTTTGCTCGGCGGGATCCGCACTTCCTGCACTCCGCCGTAGAGCTTTGGATCCCAGCGGAGGTTCACGTCAATCCAATCCTTTCGTCGAAGAACTGTCGAGGAACACATTTTCCGTGCGTAAGGGCGCCCGGGGAAGTGAAGGGAAAGACAGAAAGAAGAGGAAAAAACGAAGAGAGGAAGAGAGAAAACAGGTATAAGGGAAGACAGATAATGAGAGAAAGAGAAAGAAAGATAGAGACAATATAAAAAAGAAACAAAAAAGATGAACAAAAAGAGAACGAAATAAAGGAAAAAAATAGAAATAGGAAAGAAAGCAAGAAGGAAAGGGGGAAAGAAAGAAAAAGGAGAAAGAGCGAGGCTATGAAAAAATGTCAGGGAAGAGAGTTCCGCCACCACGCGAGGATTATAGAACGTTCAGAAAGTAACGAGAAAGGGAGACAGAAAGCGAAGCAAGGAGGAATTGAGAGAGGGAAGATAAAATCATTGACAAAAGATAAAGAAAAAAGAGTGAAATTCGGTATTAATTACGGTCAACTGTCCGAGTGATTCTGCTGAAACAATGAATAGGACACCGAGAAACTCCGATATGCACGCCAGTTCTGAGAGTGTACTGAAGGAAGCGAAATGTGGCGGCCAATTTGAGGAGGGTATGGATTAATGACAATGGAGGAAAAGGTGCGAACCGGAAGGGAGGGAATCTGAACAACAGCAAACAAATAAGTGTCGGTATCAAAGGAGATTTAGAAGAAAACAAACAAAAGATGTTTTCGCCTTCCATTTGATTGCGCTAAGTCTCAGTGTGAAGCATTCATTACTCTTGCTTTACAGACAGTCTGTTCTGCTTATAAGGGGGGCCGCTTTCAGCAAGCCACTTCACAGGGGCGATGCTTGAACCAGATGCTAATAGTTTTTTTTAAATTTTAAATGCACCAGTAAAGCTGCCCTGTGATGAAGAAATTTTGTTGTTAATTGTGATTCTGCCGCTGTGAACTAATAAACTAAAAACAAAGGGGGTGGAAGTTTCAAGTTTCCTTCCAGCAAGCAAGCTGTCTTCTCTAATGGTCCAACAGTGCTATCCCGTTTCAGTCTTGCGTAAAGTTAAGTCGCCGTCTCGGCACTGCAGAAGCCAGTGACCTCGTACTCTGTGGTCAGGACGGCCAAAACGCCTCCCAGGCGTTCTTTCCAGTTAATGACTACAGATAGCTAATTATGAATTCTTTAAATAAAGCAGTAATTGTTGGTAATCGCTTAGGACTGAGTTTTTCTTTTATGAAAACTAAAACTAAAATTGGTATTTCAATTTATTTTCAGAAATTGGAGCTCGCGGAAACATTTTGCTAAAATCTCGTTCTAATGTTTTATGTTCGTTGTCTAAATTCCTTAAGAAATCCTTTAAATGGTCGACACCTGCGCATTGGTATATATTGTCGATTTGTTTTTAAATTTACCTTTAATCACGGAGTGTTTATGTAAAGAAATAATGCCCTTAAGAAAAAGAACGTTCTTTTAAAAACACTGTGCCCCTCCCATTTTACATTATTGCTAACTGGCAAATTCAACGCCGACGACTTGTTAGTTTGAGAAACAATGAAAATAAAACTTTATTTTTTGTACCTTAAAGACAAGCTTGAGTTTCCCTAAAAAAACTTTTCTCGCCAGGGTTGTTTCAATAGTCGTCAAACTATTTGTAAGTGAAGGGGTAAAATTAATTTTTAAGATAGATCGTCCACAAACAGAGACAAAGACGACACGTTTGTTAGCAGCGCTGAATGACGCTTTCAGAATTGTGTTTGAGCCCCACGACACTCAAATGGAAGGCGCCATTCCAGCTACGACTCTTGGAGCTGCCTCAGAATATGTGTGCCAGTACGTTATCATATTTCGGGAGCTGCATTGTGCGGTGAATAAATATGCTACGGTCAATTTCTTAGCGCTTCGACCCGGCTGAATATGCACAGAATTTTAAATATTCTAAACCTAATCAAAAACAGCTCAAACTTTTCCAATGCGCCATATTGTTAGCCAACAAAAATATAAATATCGAATTATTTTCGACCGTCTAAGGGCTGTCTAGGACAGTAACTACAACGAACATAAAAATGTGGGGCATTGACTGCCTCGCTAAAGCTTTCTACCCGCTGAACTTGGTGCTTTATTAATTGCGCCGTTATGTGCAGACATAGATGGATGGATGTAAATAACTTTACTTATTTATAGAGGTGAAGGCGGTTATGTCCGCCCTCAGTCGGCAGTTAGTCACACTTGGTGGCCGGGAGCCCATGTGGCCCGGCGGCCTCGGCATCCCTACGGACCACATGTAATTCGGTGGTCAGGTCTGAGCCGTGTAGCGCAGCGTCCCACCGCTCCTTTGATCGGAAGGGACAGGGAGGGACAGGAATAAATTGGGAGTTGAATTGCTCACGGAGATTTATTTTAAGAAAGTCTTGCTTGTAGGAACCTCAGTTTGCTATGTAAGACTGCAAAACCAAACTCGAATTCTTTTTTTTAAAGTAATCTACGTAAACCTACATTATCGTGCCACTCTTGCACAAAATAGCGATATTCTTTTACACCTAGAACTTTGCTGGAGACAAATTATACTAAAACGAAAGCTAACTTATACAGATTTAAATAGAAGTACCATAAGACGCCAAAGCAAAGCTGAAATTCAATCTAAACAAAAACGAATATTATATATATATATATATATATATATATATATATATATATATATATATATATATATATATATATATACTTTGCAATGAAAGAACATCCGTTACGTGCGAAAGCAGAAGTGGGTTTCCTCCGCCTGTGATCAGAATACACTAAATAGTTTATCGCAATGCAATGGCTACGGCGCAATCACAGATGCTGAATGGCTGCTTACAGAAACAAAACGGCTGCCTCGCTCTCTGAAAGTATTTGATATTTTTATTTTTGTTTTTACTCTCCCTCTTTGAGTACGAAATCGAAGGCTGAACACAAAGTAAAGATCGAATGACCCTTTGGTAACAGATAAAATATAACGCCATTTTTCCCAGATGTTTGCCTCTTACCCTCGGAGGATTAAGTGGAACAATAACCTGCCCCCTAAACTTTCCTTCTGGTGCTTTCTCCGGTTGCTTTCATTATGTTCTTTGCTTTATACACTGCATTGTGGGCCTTTTAAGTTTAGTAATGATGGCAGCCTCATGGGGCTGTAGCGCGTGTGAGATAATGCCGAATAGACCGCGGTTCACAGCCCCAATTAATCCATGCTAATGAGACTGGCACGGGGTCCTATCTTCCTTTTGAAATAAGAATGCCAAGATCCAGGTGATTCGTAATTGCTGTCGTGTTTTTTGATGTGCGGTAATGTGTCCCTCTGCACAGAAGAGATGAGTAAAACATTCTTCTGACATTCGTGGCCTGCCTTTTTCGGCACAATTTGCCTTTATTTTGTTTAAGATGCATTGTATCCTAGGAGAGCGACTGCGGGGATACCGTACTCCAACGTTTTATTTTTGTTTTTTTAAAGGTTATTTAAGAAGTAAGGAAAGTTTAGTACCTTCATACCTCCTTATTTTACATGAATTAGGCGATTAATATCAGCTGAAAATTGCAAAATATGTTGGAAAAACACAAGTTGCTTTTAGAGGCCATACACTAGAGCGCACATATTGCTACAAATGCAAGTGTTTTTTTGCGCAGCGATTGAGTCGCCCACACTTGATTTCAACTAAAGACCATGTGTGACGTCCACTGGGATTGTTTTTAATTTCCTAGGGTCCTGGCACGGGCGAAATGCCGAACAAGACATTGTTCCCGCGTCAGTTTTTATTGGGAACGCTACTAGACCTCGTTCATTGCTCCAGAAAATTACACTTTCTTCGCTTGTTTCTCTCTCTTGGGTGGTGTGCGCCGTGGCACCATGCCTGCCCCCTACGCGGTGAACCTGCGGAACAGATCAAGAACAAAATGCCTTCTCGCTTTACAGTTTGTCCGCGCAGAAGTTTATGCTAATTTGTGCAAACTCGCTAACTCAAATTTAAATTCGATTTGACGCGAACCATCGTGATTAAACAATTTCAAACTTTTGGAACATTGGCGAGGAAACGTCTGTCAAAGGGTGGTCAGTCGCTTAATGTTTTTTGTCACTCTTAATGATATACTAGAAAACAAGTTTTATGGCGCCGTAGATTTTATTGGTGTCAAAGTGTGCTGTATATATATTTTTTTAGTTTAGAATACGAACACTGAAATTAAAACGCAATGGAATGCCGAGATTCACAACAAAAAACATAGAAAAAGAAAACAAAAGCAAGGTTTGTGAAGATTGAAGTTGAAGGCATCCACTCCTGAACGTTCAACACGAAACTACGAATAGAGTTCAAGTTCGGCGTGAACTAACGCGCTTTGATGACTTAACAATCCGGGACACCGCTGGGTTGATTGGTCAGCGAAGGTTTGTCATTAGCATGAAGCACAAAGAGCGCATACGAAGGAACATCGTGGAGGAGGAATTGGTCTTCTAATTTGATGGGGCTCCGGAACAAGTAGCTGCTACTTCAGTCACTCCAGCAACAATCATCTCACTGCGGCCGGCGCCGTCGCTGGCGTTGACACGAAGAAACTCACTCTTGATAAGATGCTTCTACGTTAACATTAGGTGAAATGCAAGGAAGGTCCCTCAAACGCAATTTCTACAAATCCTCCTTCTTTATACGGTGTACTTGACGTCCCGGTCACATTACACCTGCAAGTCCGGCGTCATCTGGTTGCGTGTTGTCGCCGTCTTCCGTAATTCCCTGCGCGTACCCCTTGCCCGCCGTTATAGTTTCATAAACAACGAAATTTCGATTCGGAAACTGTAATCTTGATCAGAGCTTAGAGGAAGTCGGCGACGGGCTGTACAATATTATCCTCTTATGAACACTGGGACGAAAATTGCGCATGGCACCCTAATATGTCTCAAGAAATCGAACAGCAGCTGTCATCCTATTATTTGAGGCGTACTAGCAATAGCTTGACAATAGGACGGCAACGGTCTATTATATTTGAAAGTACTTTGTAATATTGTTTATTTTCACGTACACAGTTGAATACGCGATGTCCCAGCCCATTTACACCGACTAATTAAAATGTGTTCTGAATAGTCCAGGAATCCAGTGACTACTATTGCGAGAAACATGAGAACCAATAAAGCAACAGTAATTTGGGTGCTTCACTGAATAGCCAGCATGTTTTGTAAGAATATTGACACGTTATTGCGATGCATGATCCTAACAAGACTTGGCTTCACGCTGAGTGGCTGCTACAGATTTCATCGCCTTATCGAGCCTTTGAAGTTGTACGAATATATTGCTGAATGTAGCACGGTTATTAAGTTCAGTCTTTTATATTCCGAACTGAACATCACTCTGAAATACGGCGCCACGACAACATTAGGAAGGAGATGGGTTGAATGAAGATGAGAAGTGTCGTTTAAGCCTATTGAACTGATATTGAGATTACTGAACTGATCGTGTGAAGCACCCTAGCGCTAATTATACTTGTAAAATCTATCTATTGATGGAAATACAATTCGAGCATTATCAGTCGTATTAAATAGTGGGATGCTCTCCGCTAGTCAGCTGTGAAGGCAGCCTCCAATGAAGCGAATTACACTGAGAGTTCGGAAATGGTCTAACCTTCCACACCTCAATATCCAGTCAACTCGAAGAGAGCGCAAAATGGCTCCGTCAGGTCTCTAACATCTTGAAGAGAGATGCCATCACATGCTTCTGCATCGATAACACAAGAAAGCTGACAGGTTGGTGTACCGTCGGTTTTCAAAATCGGAAGCCCTTATTGCCAAATGATCGGCCTATCCAACAGTAGAGTAAACTGATCTGCATTAAAACGTTCATTCGGGCAAATTTTTTACTGCGACAATACATTCCACGCAAGGCTGATGTTTCGCCCATGTCGAGGTGAGATTCTGCAGTGGAGTTGTTTGGTCAAACGAGCAGTAAAATAATGACATGAAATCCTTCTAAACACTGGGGGCAGAAAATATGTGGGTTCATTAAACTTAATATTTCCATATTACTAGAGGAGAGTCCTCATACCGTCAAATTGTTGAACTCGAGAACAATGAATTCTAGAGCCCACACTGCCGGAATAAATATGTCTATTTGTTCTCCCTTTTATCGAAACAAAATGTCTATTGCTATTTTTATTTCTCCTCTACAAGCGCTTCTCAACATGAAGGGCAAAGTGTGGCAAAGACAAAATATGATAAATTGTTTGTACAGATCCAAAGTTGATATTCTTTCATTAATTTTTATCTAAAACACTTATATTATTAACTAGAGAAACAAAGTATACCTTACAAAATCAACAAAAAAATGTATAATCACCCGCAGCCTAAGTATGCAGCATTATAGTATATTGTTAACCAAACATTTGGTTGTCAGTGAGTTAGTGACTTAAAAATATTGCAGTAATTGCCACCAGATATATTGCGCGACAGCCAGAACATCTATAAAATTGAAATATGCGCGAATATTTTTTACTGGCGACAATATTTGAGGCATATCCTGAAGGCTTGCGTGCAGTTTTGGTAAAGCATAGCCAACATTCACAAGCAGAAGCGCAACATCGAAAAGCGTGGGAGGGTAGAAAATATTACTGTGTTCTGGTTGAGTTTATTTTGGTTTTCATTATAATTTTACATTTTTATCGAAATTGTGTTTTGAGTTTGTATGATTCCTCATATACTTTTTGTTTCAAAAATAACCATCAAGCTTCGACGCAGAAATCTATTCGAATATTACCTTCATATTTTAAACTGTTCTTTCACTTTTACTTTCGGAAACCGCTTTGCGTATTTTTAAAGAGTTCTTTGTAACGAAGTGAAAAAAAAAAGACTCAGACTATTAGTGCAAAAAAAAGTGTTTTACAGATGCAGAAAACAAATTAACATGATATACTAGAAATCTAATAAAAATACAACTTTTTGTTAATATTTATTCAACCGCGGCATTCATTATAATAAAAGGTTAGTCCGGGGATTAGAAATTACCCTTCGACCAGGTCGCTGTCCTTTTTTTATAAGAATCCAAGATGGCGAGTACTGCTCCTTTCTCCTATAATTTTGGTAAGATGACGATAGGTTTCACGTGCATTGTTTATTGAGTTAATCCAAATAATATTTCACTCTCGTGTCCTTAATTTTGCGCACAGTTACCTTCATCGAAGGGCAGTTTACAGCGACCCTCAGTTTTGTTTACTCTGAGAGGATGAGGCTTTCTTTGCACTAACAAGAACAGGTTTAACTTCAACGTGTTATTTATTTTAATTATACCTTGCATTAGATTTTACATTAAAACCCATAAATATCTCTAAAGCAAACGCAGGCACCCACGGATACTGTCTTAAAATATAATTTAACCCAAGTTTTACTAGGAAAAACAAAACTATTTTAATTTCGGAATAAAGTGTGAACGAAAAATAAAACTCACTAAAGAACCACTTTACACGTTGTAATAATATATTGCAAATTCTTGGTTAATCATTTTGTACTCTTGTCGCAATGATTAAAGCAATATGTACGAGTCTCAAAAAGGAAACTCTCTGGTAACTTGTTCAGGAAAACCCCGTCATGATTCCTCTCTAACATTTTCAAAAAATTCAGACATGCACTCACGCTTGCAGTGCCACTGAAGTTGTCTATATGCCTTGTATATGCTACTCGAACATGATATTAATGTATTTGAATAGTTACTAGTCAACGTGCACTATCTCATAATTTTTAAGCCCCTTACTCTCTCCAAAAGGGTCATGCATTGATCGGGAATCTGCAAACCGAGGAAACTATCCTATTTGCCGTCTACAAAAATAAAAGGAAAATTAAAACAGGCGTGAGCGTGCGGAGAAGAGCAGGCTGCATGCATTGGTGGGCCTAACAATGTAGAGTGTTAGCTACGGCAAGTGACTTCAAAGCTTCAACAACCTGAACATTTTATTGAATCTATATCTGTCGATCATGCCGTTAGAGTTAGTTCAAGTGACAACGTATGGGACTCTTCCTATTCATATTGCTCTGCAAATTACAGATAGCGTCTTCTTCCATGAGCTCTGTTTACTCTGTAGTTCTTAGGCTTAATAAAAGTTTACAGAGCAACTATTATTTATTTCAACTATGATGATTGACAGTGTGCTCAGGTTATCTTTTAAAAGGGCAGACACAAAAAAAACAGCTTCTTAGAGGATAAATTCGGTTGGAAGAAATCGGTTTAGTGAGCACTCATTTTTTTCGGCACGAACGCCTATCAATATGAGCGCACAAATACATTTTTGTTAGCTCCTTTTAATGGTGACAAACGTTTTTATATCAAATTTAACGTTTTCCAAAAGCATTAAAGCAAAAAAAAATCTGATATCTCGAATTAAGCGATTCTTGCCATCTGCTCTGTCTATTTTGCATAAGATATACCGGTTTAGTTTTCTGGTTTGTTTCATTGCACCCACGCGTCAATGATACTCCGCGCATATTTGTAGGTTGTATAGTTTGCTGGTTTTATTGAAGTATTCGCCGATTTGAATGAACAACCACTCGGCGAGAAAGACCCCTTCAACCTCCTTTATCCTCTAAATTGAAACAAATTATTTCTATTCTGCTTAAATGGCAATGATCAGACTGGCCTTGGTTATAAAATTGTTACGGCGTAAATTTAAATTTAAAAACTGACCTAACTTCTAAAAAAATTACGGCACGGGGTATTAGATCGGCGAGCTTACCAAGGTTAACCAGATATTTGTAATAATTAGTTGATTATTTTCATCCTACAAAAGAGGTGAAGTGAAGAGAAGGCAGGCGTCAGTATCGCGAGCTATAGTCGCGCCTCCTCGAACACGCGGACTCAGTGCAACAGACCGTGACATCACATGGTATCTAACTCGTGAGGCAGGACCGGCACAATACAGCATTGATAGAGGATTCACAAAAAATGTCAATTAATTGGAGCATTTTGTAAGTTTTGCTTGTTTTGCTTTGCATGATTTGCGACACCACAGCATTAAGCACTCAGGCCTTCTATTCAAGAAGGCGCGATGTTTCACATCTTCTGCGAAGGTTTTGTATAGTTACTGCATAGTGATGAAGCAGAAGGCATTCTCTATAAACTTAGCGAAGATGGAATGAAATATTCACCAGTAAGAATGCCTAAAATGTATTTGTTTTAAAATATTATATCTTAATTATAAGCCGCTTAGCCAATGGCTACATTCGGTACGCGGGAGCTCCAATCGGCACCCAAGACTGACAATCTTTATGACAATCCGTGCGGTAGAAGGCCGAACACGGACTGCTTCAACTTTCTTGGAATAGGAATGGAGCACACTTCCCACCCTATTAAGTTGCTGAACTGAAGAGAATCATTTCTAAGTTGGCTGAACGGCTAAGCTGATCATAAGTGATCGAATAATGAGTGTTTAACGGTCAAAATGACACGCTCATAGGTATTGTTAGAGCGCACGCAGTAGGGTTTGAGTGCATCAGGAAAGATAGAGGGAGATAAGAGTATGGGCAAGGTAGCGGGAGAGCGAAAGAGCTGTCTTATCTTCCAGTGCCGAAGTTAATTCCGTCCATTTAGGTTTTCTCTATAGAGAACTTGTTTTTTCTAATAACTATTTTCACCTGTCTCCACAGAATATTTTTTTGTTCCAAATGTTTGCCTGCTTGCGTATTGTGCATGTGTGTGTGTGTGTGTGCGTGTTTCGCGGGGAATAAAAAAGGGAACCCTGCGTAACAAGACGTTCTCCACACTGCACATCACGTAGGCACTTGGAGCCACTTACCAGGTTTAACCATAGGTTTGTTGTTATTATCTGATTTTTTTCGTCCTACGGGGAGAAACAGAGTTCGACACGTCTTAGCGCACGAACCCTTTTTGTTAAACTTCCGAGGTCTACTGCACTGATTATACAGGTTGATATGTTTCTGGATTACTTGCACTGTTTTGTTTCTGGAACGATACTATTTGTACTGTAAAGACAAAATCGGTATTAGGTTTTTTGTTTTTTTTCCGTATCCGTGTTTAGAAGTCCACGATGAATATATAAGGCTCTTCAGTATTTGTTGTTTTCCCCCAAATACTGAAGAGCCTTATACATTCAGAGCCTTATATATAAGAATATATCATTCAGAGCCTTATATATAAGAATACTGAAATACCGCCAGCATGTAATTTTGTGCTGGTCGTCTTAAGTACTATCGTCGTCTTAAGCGTACATCTGGGGATGCAATTTTTACTTTTAAAAAATATTTGTTGAAATGATTCCTCTTAGGACCTTAGCTTAGCCACCGGGAAAAATTGCAAATGCTCGCTAAATCTATACACAAATATTATGGCTCATGAAAACAAGGGTCGTTTCTAGACCGGTAATTGCTTTTTTTCAGATATGTAGAAAGCAATAAAAAAACTTTCCAATTCCTTTGGTAATCAAAAAGTAACAGTGACGCAGATCACAGTTAGTTCTGTGTGCTATCACGAATTTGAGAGTTTCTGTATGTGTGTACGTGAATATGCGCCTGGGTATGTGTTTGTGAATATTTTGGCTTAAATCATAAGGCGTTTTGCATTTGTGAAACTAAGCTGTTTGATGTGTTACTTTCTGTGTAAGCGTTTTATTGCTAAAACAGGCACCATATTCACCGAGTGGGTAAAGCGGTTTTCATCGATAGGTAGAAAAAGATTGTGCTCTGAAATGAAGACAAAATAGGGTGCATAAAAGGCTAATCCTAAAAGCAATGTTAAGAGCTCTGTCAAATATTAAAAAATCACACTCTCTGAAAAAAAGGTTCAGATACAACACTCACAAGCAGTATTTATACAATGATACTTTTCAACTGCTGGCCACTTTTATATACCAAAAATTTTGAATAAATTTGTGGTTAACCATACCGTACGTCCTGTAATTGTCTTAGATTTGGTTCAATTTGTAGTTCATCAATGTGTGGCGTGCCAAAAGATATTTGATGATGTGAGACAATTTTAATATGAATATCATGTTGGTTAATTAGAACGATTGTACCTCACGAAATTAAGTTACAATACATTGTCTACTTCACGTGTGTCACAATATTGTGACGGAAAAGAATACATCAATTTTATAATTTTAAGTTAAATTCTTACATAAAACTGCATCCGTCAATATCCTTTTCACAGTGAGTAGTAAAATTCTTAAAACAGTGGTTGTCAGATTTGTTTTAGAATGTTTTCCAAAAATGAAAATAAAAAAATTAAAATAAATTGTTCTTTTAGAGGGAAAGTGTTCTGCGTAACTTCGGACGATACAGAAAGTTGAAGGATTCCTTTGATTTTGTTTTAACAGGATATCGGAGTTATGCGATCCTCACCGTATTTTGCCACTTTAGTTCAACTTAAAGCTCGACGTCCTACAATGTGTGAGGAGTGTCTGGCGAAGGACTATGCCAGGCGCACGTGCCGCGCACGTGCCGCGAGAGGACGAACACGGAATGGGAAAGACGACGAGGACGGATCGGGGAAAACGTGCAGTTAGGTTCTGGGATTAAGGACGGACAGTAAAGGTTCCATCCTAACAAGTGGGGGCTCGTCCGGGATCGAAGATGGACAACCTGGAGGTGCCAGATGAACTGATAGCCCGCCTTTTGAGACAAACCTACGGATCCGTGATGCAGCGGGAGCGAGCTTCTGTTCAAGTGCGCCAACTGCTACTGACTGCTGCAGTGCCCCCAGCCAACGAACCCGAGGTGAGCGCGGCTGCAGTCCACCCGTCTGGCGGCCCTCTGCCGAGAATTGCGGCGCAGTTGCCGAAGTTCACAGGCTTCAGTGATCGACAGTCGCCCGAAGAATTTATCGAGAGGCTAGAAAACTTTTGCTTGATTACGGGAGTCACAACTGAAAACCGTCTCAGCCAGGTCGTTCCGGCTGCACTAGATGGGAACGCCAAATTATGGTGACGTTTTATCGGTAACTTCGGCAGTTGGGATGATTTCAAGACGGCGTTTCGTGCCGAGTTCGCCTCAATCGACGCCAAGCGACGTCTAAAGGACGAGTTGAGACACCGCAGTCAACACCCCGAGGAGAACCTCAAGGAATTCATTTACACGATCGCCGAATTTTACGAAAGATTCGGGGAAGAGGTGCCCGACTCAGAAAAGGTCGACCGCGTGCTACGCCAAATGCATCCCCAGCTCCAGGATTTGGCGGAAGGGACGCAGTACGCGAATTTGAGCGAGCTCGCCAAGGCAGCGGACGGCCTCAGGGAGCGTGCCTGGTGGCGTCTTCAGTACAAGCCGCCCCCCACAAGAAGCAACCAGGTGGCCCGTGACCTAGCTTTCCGGGCACAAGGTAACAGCGACTTCCCCGGGACGGAAACTGCAATTCCCGCTACTTTCGCACCGGCTCTAGTAGCGCCTGTGTGATCTGCAACAGTCGCTATGCAGTCGACGTATCGCTGGCCACCCCACCCTGCGGCAATCGAAACAGCCTACTACAGGGACCAGCTTTCAGGGCCGTTTGGTGTTGCAGGTGGTCCAGCCTCCTTTCAAACGCTGATGGACAGAGTCCTGAATGGAATCAACCACCAATTTGCTATGGCATTTATGGACGATGTACTTGTGTATTCAGAGACGCTGGACAGCCATGTTACACATGTCCGAGAAGTCCTGGAGCGCATCAGATCAGCAGGACTCACCATGAACCCCGACAAGGTTCAGGTGTGCTGCCAGTCGCTGAAGTTTTTGGGCCATGTAATAAGCCCTGGACAATGTAGGCCGGACGAGGGGAAGGTGTTGGCGGTGCTCGACTACCCCCGACCTACCACAGTCAAGCAGCTGCAAGCCTTTCTGGGTTTGGTTGGCTATTACCGGAACTTTATCCAACAGTTCTCCATTATTGCCCGCCCTCTCAGCGATCTCTTGAGAAATGACCGAAAGTGGATCTGGAATCACCAGCAGGAGCATGCCTTCACCCTGCTCAAGGATGCACTGGCTCACGATGCGGTGATGAGTTTGCCAGACCTGAATCGGCCCTTCGTCGTCGAAACAGATGCCAGCGGAGTTGGCATAGCTGCAGTGCTTCTACAGCAAGGCCCCGACCAACTGCAACCGGTGTCCTTCATCAGCAGGGTGCTTACTGAATCTGAGCGACGTTACACCGTCCAGAAGTGGGAGTGTCTCGCAGTGGTCTGGGCAGTAGACAAGTTCAGACCTTACCTCGAGTTTACCGAGTTTGAAATCCACTGCGACCACTCCTCACTATCCTGGATGTTCAGCACCGACCAGGCCTCCCCAAGAGTCAAGCGTTGGGTTCTTCGACTCCAGGGCTTCAACTGCAAAATCAAGCACCGGAGAGGGCTTGCGAATATCCCAGGAGATGCCCTCAGTAGGGCACCTCTCCAGCAGGTAGACATACCTGATCAGAGCCTGCCTGAAACGCTGTTTCCGATCTGTGCACCAGAGTCGGAGCCTCAGATCACCTTCGAGGCAGCTGCAGCAGCGTCCCTGATCGACGATGTCACCTGCTTGAGCGACAGAGCAAGATTAATTGACGAGCAAAAGCAGGACACTCTTTTGTCGAGGCTCCTGAGTGTTAAAGAAGGCATGAAGCTTCCTGATGATGACCCTGACCGGCGCCTACTGGCGGACATGGCGGAAACAACAGAAGTAGAAGCCAACGGCCTCCTCGTTCAACTACGCGGGGAAAGAAAGGTGCCCTGGCTCCCTACCCATCTTCGCCAATTGGCACTTGAGATGTCACATGACCATCCCACAAGCGCTCACGCAGGTTTTTTTAAAACTCTAAAACGCGTCTCTTCCCGCTTTGTCTGGTTGGGAATGAGAGCTGACGTCGCCAGGCACGTTCGTTGCTGTCAAGTGTGCCAACGCACTAAAGCCCGCCGCCAGAAGCCACAAGGGCTTATGAGCAGCCAGTGGGCCACTGCACCGATGGAGGAGCTAAGTGTGGACATTGTAGGACCTCTGCCCACCACACCTAGACGCAACAAATACCTTTTGGTGATAATCGACAAATTTACAAAGTTTATTGAACTTTTTCCTTTACGAACAGCAACCAGCAAAACCATTATAGAGTGCATGGTGCAAGTTTTCTGCCGAGACGGCACACCTGTTTTCATCTCCAGTGACAACGGCAAACCATTCGTCAAGAAACTGTGGCGAGGTCTCCTAAGCCACTGGGGGACCGCCGACCGCCACACTGTGCCATACAGACCATCAGGACAAATGGTAGAGAGGCACAATGGCACGGTGAAGGAGAGCCTTAGAGCATATTGTTCCACCCACAGAGGCTAGGACCAGCACATTCCTGAAATCGCTTTCGCGATACGCACGGCAGAAAGCGTCGTCACCGGATTTACCCCAGCCTTCCTTTGCTACGGCCGAGAGCTTCGCACCCTATGGGAAGTGGCGGGACTCAAGGATGACAGCGAGCCACCAGCTTCAGAATGTCATGCTTTTGCGGCGGAAGTCACTCGGCGCCTGCACGACGCACTCGATTTCGCTCGCGATCACCAAGAGAAAGCAAGGCAGGCCCAGAAAACTTATTACGACCGGCACCGGAAGCCTGCAACAATACGTCAAGGTGACCTTGTCCTCCTTGATGCCCACACATTGAGCGATGCGGCCAAAGGCATTACTGCGAAGCTTGCTCCACGCCGCACGGGGCCCTTCCGTGTGGTCCAGTGCCTGGGTGCTAACGACTTTGTGCTTAAGGACCCAGTTACTGGGCGAAACCGACACATGGCTAACGTGGACCAGCTAACACCGTACCACGAGCCAGTTCCAGATATACTCCCGTCTGGTTCACGTCTCAAGAGGGGGAGACCTGTGAGGAGTGTCT